GACTGCTGAAGAGTTTAGCCTTTGTAACCTGGAGTCTCTTGGGGACGAACTGACCCATTTTAGAAGTGGAAAGGCTCAGGAGTCCTGTCGTTTTTTCCCCTTAAGATGCAAAAGTGTCTGAAAAATAGTGTTTAAATGCATCTTTCCAGAGTTATTTTTAATGTTACAAAGAAAAGGGATATTTTTCTGATTCTAATACCCAGAGATTTTCTTTTGATTATATGCCATAGGTGGCCAATTTTGAAATTGCCCAACTAGACTGCATCCAGAACATGATACGTATTTAAAAGCCCATTAGGTATCAGATTAGAGGTTTCCTTTTATCACGCTAAATTAGTAATAGGCAGAGGGATTATACACTTTATGTAATCCTGCTGCCACATTCTGAACAGAATTGAGGGGCAGGGAGAGGAGAAAGCGAGGGAGCAAATGTGATACAGGGTAACTGCTATTCTTTTGCTTGTGAATGGAAGAGCGCTAGAATAATATTTAATAATAGTAATTTATTAAATTTATATGCTGCCTGACTTTCAGCAACTCTGGGTGGTATTTAATAGTATGTCTTTGGTGAGCTAAAATAGTTTGGCAGCAATTTCTGATTATGCTGCTGAAATAAAGAAGAGGCATTTGGGAGAGAATATTAGAATGGAAAGATCAAACTCCTTTCAGTTTTGCTACTAAAAGCAATCCTATGGGCATAAATGTATGCCCTAGAAAACAAAAAGGTTTATGAATCTTAGCAATCTGTTAAAAAAAATAAATTAGATTCCATAAATCCAAAATATCAGTTTTCTGTAATATAGGATGAATGAGAAATTGTCCCTTAATGTCCCTCTAAAATAAAGCTCCTGTCTCTCTTCCATAGTAGTCGGATATTAGGATAGGACATAATAAGTATTGGAACAGCAGCTTCTTTAGTTCTTATATGTATATGCTGTACATTCCATTTAGTGTGGATATGTTGGTTATCTAAGCAAGGTATCAGATTAGAAACCAGGAAAGTACGTTGTAATCTGGCCTTGGGCACAAAGCCAGCTAGGGGACTTGGGACAATCCATTTCTCTCAGCCCTAGGAAGAAGTCAAACCACTTCTGAAAAACCTTGCCAAGAAAACTGCAGAGACTTAATCCAGGCAGTCTCTGAGAATCAGATATGATTTAACAGGGGGGAAAAAAATCTCTACAATATTTTCTTGGGATGAAATGGGAGAACTAGCTGAGCAAGAACAACTTGACTGGCCAGTAGTCCAGCTCCTTAATAAAAAATATTTTGTATAATTGAAGAATTCAATTTTTTCCTTTTTGCGCTAAGATTTTATTTCAGTGAATCCTGATGAAATATCAATATATCTAGAGCTTTTTGTAGAATAATTTGAGTTTTTTTGGATTTTCCTTTAAAGAATAGATGCATGATCATGGTAGAAAATACCCAAACCTTCATAGTCTCCTACAACCTGTAGCAGTCTTTGCCATCCTTACTTTGTTCATCTATACTGCTATGTGAAAATTAATGATGTTATACATTCCAGCCTTAGCATAATTGGTGTCTACTTCATGCATTTTACTTCCCTCAGTTTGATTTCTACAGATTCAACCTGCATAAACCTGTGTTTCTCCAGTATTTCAGCCAGAAGGTCTTCCAGCTCTACTTGAAGATGCCAAGGAATTAAACTTTGGACCATCTTCATTTAAAGCATGTCTATGAGCTTCTAATATTCATTATTTGTACTTAATATTCAGCATAGTATTCACTTCATACTAAAAAAGAATCTGTGTTTAGAAGTAGATACTCTGGTTTAGATCTTTAAAATTTAAATTGTGCAAGCATGAGGTGACCATGTGTTAAAATAAGTAAGTACATATGAAGCTGAGCGGAACATCTGTGTGAAGAGAAAATAAATATGTTCCCTTTTATTTTACATTAATCATCATCAGAAATTGAAACAAGGTCACCACAAAGGATATTGTGTGCCAGGAGCTAGTTTCCAGATGATAATTTCCCCAGGTAGTGGGACAACAATTCCAACTTATTTGTACTTTTTGCAATTTGTCATCTCAAATGTGGAGGACACCAGACTGAGGAAGCCTGCTTTATAAGCTTAAACTCGAGGCCTAAATACTAAGAAAGATTTTTTGCAGAAATTTAGTTATTTCGCAAAGAAACCATGAAGTAAACCGAAAAAGAATCTTATACTAAATCTATTTTATGGAAACGGATAGGAATAAGGCATTTAAAATATGCTTAAATTTGCAGAGAAGCTGAATGTATTCCTTATATCATGAATAGTTATCATTTGTTTCTTTTCAGAAAGTCCGTTTTCAGAAAAGGACTCTGAAAATCTAAGGCAAATAGTGATATTCAAATTAAATTTAAAAAATAAATAGATATTTTTTGAAAAGTTTGACATATTTTAAGCAGTTTCACCAAATTATCTGCAATTTAGAGAACCCATGAAATGTATGTCAAATAACAAAAATTGAATTCAGTGCGAAAGATTACTGAAAATTAAATTACCAATAATATACTTCAGACAAATCTGTGATGTGACCACCTTTAGAGTTCTGTACAATTCTGGCTCTAATTATTTAAAAAGAGGATGTTGAACAATTGGAATAAGTGCAGGAAAAGTAACTTCAGTAATAATTGAAGCAGGTTAGAGAAAAGAAAGCAATTCTTCACATAGCACATAATTTTAAGCTATGCAGTTATCACAGGATGAGGTGCTTGTCAACTATAAAAGATTAGTCATTAATCTTGTCATTAATTGTTAAATCTTATAATGGCTCTAAATAATACCAGCTATATCCTATTTCCAAGATCTGATATGGGTCCCCCTGAATATTAATTACTTGAAAGCTGCTAGAGAGGATATATTGCTATCATTTCCTTCTTTGACCTATCAAATAGGCCATTCCAGTAGGCCAGCCGTAAAGAAAACAGGTCATTGTGCTAGAAAGGCTATATTTGACCTAAAAGAATTCATTCTCTATTTTTTACTTTTTTCTCTTGCACTCTTCTCAGATTCTGTTTCTGTATTAGTTGACATGGATTATAATTTGAAAATAAATATTTCTTACAAAGTATTCCTCAAACATAAATATGCTATGAAATGGATAAATCGCACTGATTTTTCCCATTAGGTAGTTTTTGGTTATACCATCTTCAAAATTAACAAAATGGTGTTAGTAATGCCTTTCAAAAAATATCTCCCACTTACCAAAAATATCCCTGATACCTATCTGTATAAATAATTTATCTTCTTAAGTTTTTCTGGAATTTCACAATTAATACCCCGTCACTAGAAGCTTTATATATGGTAATTATATGCTACTGAGAATGTTGACTTCTTACATCCATGGATCTGAAAAACAGTGTTTGCTTACATTGAACATTATTCTGTTGCTAATTTAATTTAAATGTACAATGGTCCCAGAGAAAAAATGTCCTTTGATAGGCTTGTGGCTTTTATATTGTGAGTAAAATAAGCTAATTGAGTTTATGAAAAATTAGGTAAAAATTAATTTGTATATTTCCTTTCTGAAAACAAAATAGATTTTTAAAAAGTACCATTTGTTTGCCTAGTTTTTATCAACAGTTATCAATGCATGAAATTTATCAAACAGAGGCTGATGCTAATTTGGTCTGAGAGGACAAGTAAAGCACATGATCATACAGCTAGTTTCTACACTTCAGGGATGTCTAATCTGGGTTTTTTCACTCTTAACCCAGCTTCTACAACTAGTACACCACATCGGTTCTTGCAAAATAAAGATAAAAATTATCCAGTCAAGATAAAATAACAGCTATGAAATAAATTTTAAAGTGTGCAGTGAAGTGCTATATAACTATAGAAAAAGAGCTGTATTTCAATAAAACCAGTATATCATAGAAAAAATAATTCCTCTTTAGGAGGACTGCAAAATCTAAATAGGTGTTGAAAATGGTTTAAATAGAGGTCAATCTTTAATCCTTTTTTTCTGTAGATCTTGCAACTGACATGTTTTAGCACTTTCAGTTAATATTTATTTAAATGGGAGTAATTATATTAGAGGTTTATTTGTGTTAAAATTGTGACCAAAATTAATATTTATATAGGATTTTTTCCCCTGTGTTCCTTATAACCAGTGAAGTATATTCACTAAGGTTTGGGGTTAGGTTAGAGAGATTACAATTCAGATCCAACCTTATTGTGGAAACTTACTAAGTTGCTTTGAGCAGTCATTCTTTGTCAGTACAATCTACATCACAGAACTGTTTCATGCGAACAAAGGGAGTTTCCCTTGTATACCATTTTGAGATGCTTATGGGATCAAATAAATGCACAGAATTGCCATAAGTGAAATAGGGTATCATAATTAAAAGCTAAAACCTAAATAAAATTTTTGAGCAGTGATGACTATTGGGGAAAACATATACAGTATATGCTTTCAGTTTGATTCCCCCCCCCCACCATTAGTGCCTTTCCCAAGCTGAATGTATATAAACTTCAATTACTAATTTGCATTTATAGCTCTGCAAAATTGTTTTCAAGCTTCTTGTTTCTGCTTGTCTGCCTCTGCATTCCTGCTGTAAAAAAGACTGAAATAGATTTTGAAATGTTAGAGAATGGAACTTCTTATATATTTGAAGTTCCTAAAATCTAAATAGTGCCTTAGCTAAGCAATAAGGCTGAAGTGTAATAATAGTCCAAAACAAACTAGGGTCCATATTGAAGAAGTCAGGATCAAATCAAGTGGCAGAATTAAAATGGTAGAAGGTAATGAAATAAAGATCAATCCAGAATCAGAGACACACCTCAGCTCAGCTAGATCTTGTTGCTAACCTTTTTCTACACAATTCTACATAGAACAGACAGCTTTTGTAAAGTCTGGAAGATGTTTCACTAAGAAATTGTAGTGAAAAGATTTACCACTTAGAAGAGTGGTTAGTAGTTCCTTCCATTATGATGTCACAGTCTTAGGATAAGAATAGCAGGATCAGTTAATGTTCTGGCACTGATGCTAGCTAGGAAACCAATCAACAGATCAAGGATAAGAATGAAAAGCCCGAGAGTCCTGAAAAGAGATGGAAAGTGCTGTTATGTATTATGTTAGTATTTAGGAAAAAATATTTTTATTATTTTGGATGCAGCTACGTAAACATTTAACAATACTTATTTCCAAATAGAGTAGCTATTAGTAAAGCTATTAGATTGCCTTCAATGATATTACTCCTTTAATTTGAATTCCATTAATATAACTATTTCACAGAATTTTTAGAGAATTCGCTAGAATGCAGCAAAAGCAATTCTGACACCTTAGCATATGTTTCATTGTTCACTTCATCAAATGCTTGGAATAGAGCCCTTAAAAGGCACAGAATATGTAGACACTGTTCTTAAAAGGGAAGTAATTCTACTTGTATAATTGTACAAGAAATTGTAAAAGGAGAGGTGAGAAAGATAATGAAATTTCAGAGAGGTAATGACTGTTAGACAGTAGTTGGGAGTGACATAAAACCATCCACTTGGCTTCTTTGCCCCAGAACAAAGATGTTTTACTTGCCACTTGTTAATAACATGTCTATGTCACTGTGAACCCACTGCTACAGCATTTAGAAGATGGCTTTCAAATTGACGTGAAAGCGGGTTTTCCATGTTATGCTGAAACTAGGCTTTCATGCAGATAGTGTAAAATGCACAGAAGAGGTTGTTTGACATGATACAGACAGGATCAATGCTGTGTACAGCTCTGATTAACTAGTGGGCCTGCACTCTTCTACCTGGTCACCAGGTTTAGTACCTGTTCTGTAATGTTGTTCAGTTGTTGTGTTGGCTGCTAGGAGGACTGTAACCACAATTTCTCTGGACTTTTTTCTTATGGGTAGGTAAACCAATTGATTGCTACCCTGATTGAGAGACCAAGCAACCCAAACCATTCTTGTTCTTGACATCAGTTCTATTAATGCCACTCTTTGGAGCTGATATTCTAGGAATGTTTTTCTACTCATTGAGAGCATGGGATGCAGAGGGGCTTTCCTCTATGCTTGCTAGCAGTCTGATTGCAAGGGAGACTAGAATCCTGGTTTTGCAGATGCTTTATTCAGCATTTATTTTTTTTTTGAAGGATAGGTTTATTGGTCTACCTACACATGTACAACAAAGCTTCTTTCTCAAACTCAGTGGGTACAGGTAACTTTCAGATTGGAATGAAATAAATGAGAGTGATATGATCTATTGCTGCCTGACATTCTATTACAATTTATGTAGGCTTCAAATGAAAGATTAGAGCTATACATGAAAAAGATCAAATTAAAAAAGTCATTTAAAAATACTTATACATTTCTTTGTATTTTCATTTTTAGTGTCTAAGGTTCTATAATATTTGAAATGCGTGCTCTTTTCTATTGTTAGCCATTGTTGGTATCAGTTGATTTTAAAGGATCAAATTGCAAGCAAAACCAAAATATTTAGTCTACTTAAAAATATAACTTCTAGCAATGTCACATGATTTATAAATTACACATATTGATACATTTCTCTTCATTATTTTCCTCTGTTGTCTGTATATGTGCACACCCCCCCCCACACTACTAAAATTCTCATTTACCTAACCTTCAACTGGGAGAAACAGTGCATTCTACGGTAACAATGTTTGAATTTTTAAACCAGGGTACCTCAGAAGGACTAACTTACAGAATGTGTCTAAAATCCAGGACCCATTACTCTTGGGGAATTGAAATTTGTCAAATTTTATAAAATATTTTATAATATAAAAATGCTCATAAAAGTTTATGTCATAATACAAAATATCATGAACCTTTTCCTGTGCTGCTGATTAACTCTGCTATATAGTTCAACAGGGACTGTTCGCAAGGCAGATAGATCTCTGAATGTATCCTATCTTTTCCAGTGAAGGCAGTACATTAGAAATTCTGTTGTTGAAGGCATTGAGGCATATGATAAAGAAATATGTCTGAAAGGTTGATTTAACAGGTCACAGGTTTTCTGGTTCTGTATACAAATAGCCTCTTATAGTGTCTTTCTTCATACCTTCACCCTTTTTAAAATGTTAATTGTTTTCTCTTTGTTCACCTCAGTCCCTTTGTTTGTCAAATATTAATGCTCTTACAAAATCTCCACTTTCTTAGCACAAGATTGTTATATATGGCATTGTTTTTATTAAGAAAATGTATATGGTTTTCCTATATACAACAATCTCCTTTTTGTCCTTTATTTAATAAATAATTAAATATTAAATTTGTTTCTGGTGGTCTTTCTTAATACTCTGTTTTATTTTAAAATAATAAATAGGATATTGATGAATAGATTTTATTCCATTATTTCTTTTTAATTTTATCCATTAGGGGGACTGTATAATTTATTTTTATTTTTATTTTTTTTAAAATTTGATTTATATGCCGCCCTTCTCCGGAGACTCAGGGCGGCTTACAATGTGCTAAGCAATAGCCTTCATCCTTTTGTATATTTATACAAAGTCAGCTTATTGCCCCCACAACTGGGTCCTCAATTTACCTACCTTAGAAAGGATGGAAGGCTGAGTCAATCTTGAGCCTGGCGAGATTCGAACCTGCAGTAATTGCAGGCAGCTGGTCTTAATAACAGGGTGCTTTAAACCACTGTACTACCAAGGCTCCATTAACGTGCAGTGCTTAGTATATATTGGGAATAGCATATGTACTTTCCAAAAATAGGTCTTGGTGATGATGATTGAAATAGCAAGTTTCCTCTCTATTTGACTGCAGGGCTTACTATCAATTCTGCGTAAATTGAAGAGTGCACCAGACCAGGAGGTTAGGATCCTGCTCCTGGGATTGGATAATGCAGGCAAAACCACACTTTTGAAACAACTGGCATCTGAAGATATCACCCATATCACTCCAACCCAGGTAACGAAAGATGGTATTACTGATATGGCAGATATTCCATGATTAAATATAAGACTATATCTTGATGTTTGGCAAAGAGTTCCAAAAATAGATTTACATTGGATGTGCATACAACTCCCTTTCCAGATTTTAGTGGTATGATGATACAAGTAGTCATGAATTACTTTCAAGCGGCACAATTTGTTTTACAAAATTATGACAGCATCCCTTATTTTAATTCTGATTTTGAAATGGCTACAAACTGACCTTTGAGCAACGGTGTTAAGAGCCTTTGGTCTAGATGCATTGTTGGGTACTATATATACAATACTCTTCAACTTACAACCACAATTGAGCTCAAAATGTCTGTTGCAAAGTGAGATAGTTGTTAAGTGAGTTTTGGCACATTTTATTACCTTTCTTGCCACTGTTGTTAAGTGAATTACTGAGGTTGTTAAGTCAGTAACACAGTTGTTAAGTGAATCTAGTTTCCCCATTGACTTTGCTGGTCAGAAGGTTGCAAAAGGTGACCCCAGTCACTGCAACCATTGTAAATATGAACCTGTTGCGAAGGGTCTGAATTTTGATCACATGACCAACTGCAACTGTTGTAGGCATGAAAAGACACTTTTTTCAGGGCCGTGGTAACTTCAAATGGTCACTAAATAAATGGTTGTAAGTTGAATACTACCCCTATTCATATGTTACTGTTATCAGATATAGAGTGGATGTGTTGTATATAATATATACATTAAAAGAATAGACTGTAATATAGCTCAGGCGGTTTTTTGTTTCTTTTTTGCACAAGCGGAAGTCTCAAATGATACCCAATTATGAGCATCTCAGAAATGCCAGCAGGTGGTGCTGATGATTTGTATGCTGGGTCTGGATTGTACGCAGTTGCTGATGAAATCCTCCCATGCCTCAAAGCAAAACCCATTCCGATTCCACGCTTAAAACCCATCCCTTGTATTGCGCCGCAGCTTGTGGCCAGTCTGCACCACTTCTCGTTTTTCTAGTTGCACACCCTTTCAGTTGGAGCTTTAATTAATGAAATGGGTCTTTCAGAAATTTAGCTGGTGCTTCTACTCTTCTTACATGAAGTCATGTACAGGGTTTTGCTTCTGATTAACCTGCCCATTGGGTTTGGTTTTCAGAACAGAGGCATTTTGTTTTCCCCTTATTTGCTTATTCTTTGACTTCCCGGTGTGCCCCTCCTTTCTTGTTATAAGCTGCCACATATATATTTTTAACTGTGACATAAATAGATCCCGACTCTGGCAAGGCTACTACTATATCCTTCACCTTGCCTACAGTCAATTCATCTGAATAGCAATACAGGCTTTATCTTGTTACATTTTCCAGGGTTGCGATATATAAGCTGTGAGCCAATGAAACTATAGCCATGTACTGTATCCACTCATGTTTTTTTTTTTAACTTTATTTATTATAGGGTTTTAACATTAAAAGTGTGCAAGCCCAAGGTTTCAAGTTGAATGTGTGGGATATTGGTGGACAAAGGAAAATCAGGCCATATTGGAGAAATTATTTTGAGAACACTGATATCCTGGTAAGCATTGGATACATTGTATGGTATATTAAATAACACAGAGACTTTAAATTTAAGATATGTTGCTACTAAATACCTTCATTTATTTTGTAGTAGACAGGAGGTGCATTTTGCAAAGCAAGTATGCATATGTCAATTTATGAAATCTTTAAAACCTTTTTATTTTTAACTACTTTAACTCAGCCATGTGCTACCTGATAGTTTCATTTGATATTGCTTTGTTTGAAATTATGTGATATTTCTGATTGAAAAGAATGAATCGAGTTACGATGTGGAATCTTTTCATTCATACCCATATTTTTTCTTGAATGCTATGTAAAACAGAGATGAAATATTTCCAATAGACAACTGAATTTCATGTAGGGAAGGAACATTTTAAGGAGCTGTTCCCATTTTGGTACCTTTTTCACATCACATTTGGGAACTTCCTTCCACCACCACCACCACATGCCACTCACTCAATGTTCTCAGATTTGTGTTAATTATGGTATTATGGTAATGTTTGTGACAACAGCTCTTTAAAATAAGGCAACATACAGATGACAAATTGAGGCCAAGAAATAGTTTCTTGCCTTATGTGGCATTCCTAATATCTTGCTATAAAAATCCAGTAGTACTTAATTTAGATAGAAAACTAAATATTCACAGAACCAGAATAGCAGGAGAATCCAAAGTTGGTGTGGCAGACAGCCCATATTATTCTTGGGACCTGGCAGATAGTCCATATCTTCCTGAATATTAAGAGGAGAAGTTACCATCAGTTACAAAGTTGCTCATTGATTCACTACTGCATAAAACATGCATAATGCGCAAAGTAATATCCAGTGAGGAAGAGACCACCTACTGTATGTATTTATTATAGAAAACATACAGGTAGTCCTCACTTAACAACCACAATTGGGACCAGCATCTCGGTTGTTGAGTGAAGCCATTGTTAAGCGAGATTTCGTGTGACTGTGCTTTTTTTTTTTTTTTTTTAAATTTGATTTATATGCCGCCCTTCTCTGGAGACTCAGGGCGGCTTACAGTGCGTTAAGCAATAGCCTTCATACTTTTGTATATTTATACAAAGTCAGCTTATTGCCCCCACAAACTGGGTCCTCACTCGGTGATTGCAATCCTGGATCTTCCAGTTGTGGAAATGGGATGCAAGGCTGCTATTGCTCAGGACATCTTGGACTGCTCCCTGCCCCACCAGGCCCAGGAGGCCTCTGCCTACTGCCTGCCAGGCCTGGGAGGCCTTAGCTTGCTCTGCTTGCTCCCTGTCACACCACTGTGTGCAAAGCAACCCATTTATCTTTACTGGCAGCAAAAATCCAAGCAGGGATAGAACTAATAATCTTTCTCTCCCTGCAGCTCCATAGACATGAAACTCCCAGTAGCTCTGCAGGCATGGGGCTCCCTGCAGTTCTGTGCCTGCAGAACTGTGGGAGAGAAGGATTTCAGCCCCTTGCCTATTTGGATTTCAGCAGCCAAAATCCAAGCAGACATGGAGCTAAAAATCGTTTCTCCCTGCAACTCCACAGGCATAGAGCGGTTTGCAGCTCTGCAGATATGATGCTTCCTGCAGCTCTACCGGGACAGAGTTTCAGGAAGAGAATAATTTCAGACACATGTCTGCTTGGATTTTGGCAGCAGTTACAGAGCTAAAAATCAGATTTTCCTCACAGTTCCGCAGGTGCTGCATAGGCATGGAGAGATAGATTTCAGCTGTGTATCTGCTTGCACGGAGCTGAAATCTTTTGACAGGAAGTTCGTTCAGCCAGCTTCCAGAGAGATGAGTCCTCTCGGCAAATGACAGCAGCTTTCAATCTTCCCTGCCAGCTTCCCCAGTGACTTTCTGGGGAAGCTGGCAGAGAAGATCACAAATGATCACATGATTGCAGGGCACTTGGCAACCAATTGTAGGTGCAAACAAGTTGCCAAACACCCAGATCACGATCATGTGACTGAGAGGGGGAAGGGGAAGGGGGATTCAGTATTTTGCATTGATCAGAAGAACTTTACAAGTCATAAACACCCTTTCTAAGGCAGTTGTTATTTCAAACTGTACTTTAGTGAATGGTTGTTAAAGAGGACTACCTGGAACCAGAAAAGCAGAAAACTACCAGAACATTTCTTTGTTACAAATTACCATAAGTTTGACTTATGGGGATTTGTAACAAAGGGTAACAATAGCAATCTATAGCTACTCTAGAAAGTTTAAAGTCAGACTTTCTACGAACAAAAATTTCTAAGCAAGAATGGAGAGTAATGCAGAGAAGTTTGCCAGTTATAAAACCAAATCAACTCTGTACCCTGGTGAAAAGGAGGCCTGAATGGAGAGCTCATAAACTTCCAAGAATGGTTCAGATCTTATCAGGACAATATGTTGCTGCAGAGACATTCCAGTTAATACAGGTATATCAGTGTCAGAGTGAGGTGAACATTTTTCTTTTGTAAAACAGCAGCAGCAGCACAAACAGAATTCTCTGATAATTCAGTGGGGAGGGGTGGGGAAATCCAGTGAGACCAGACGATAGATGTTAAGAGTCTAACAAAGGGAGTAGCGAAACTAGTTTATGCTTAGTTCAGCTGCAATTAAGAGATTGTGTTCTGTTACCATGGAATAAACATAGACAAATGCCATATTCATAAAAGGAAGACTGAATTTAATTCAGCATTAATAGTGGACTAACCTGCCAGTAATCCCATAAATCAAGTAAACCATTTCAACACTATTCTTTCTATGGCCAGATGCTCAAGCCAACTTGCTGCTTTCTGATCTTTTTTCATTATTTTATTTTAAATAACTTTATTATTTTCATAATAAAATTAAGTTGCCAACTGGGGCTGGTGCCACTGTCCCCAAATCAGAGACAACTGAATCTTTCGTAATGCCCTCTTTGATTTCAAGTAATTTCTTAGTGATGGTGACATGAAAGCTAGACTAGTGGAAATGGTATTCCTGAGATAGCTTGATTTCACATCCTTCTACTAACCCATTTCTTTGTTCAGTGGAAAGTGCCTCCTGTGGGTACTAGGAGAGCCACAGATCCAGATTCATGCATTACATATAATTGTGGCTGAATATGGTAATACAAAGTAAGCCATGCTTTCATCTGGGTTCAGGTGAAAATGTCTAATTACAATATCATATAATAATGGGCAAAAAAAGTTGTTTTTAAACTGTATGTGTAGATCAATTCACCAAGGCAAGCATATCTGATATCACAGCCAAACATTGTTTTTTTAATCATCATTTTTAAGAGGTAAGTACCATTATTGGCATGTCCTGATTTTTATTTTTCTCAGATATACTCTTTATTATTCCTTCCAGATACTAATATTTGTACAATCTTCACTCAGAATAAAGCTTTATTCATCTGATGAAATCAAGTATAACAATAAAAGCTTTACTGTAATAAATATACAGGTTTTTAAATTCCTTGAGTCACATATTTTAATTATTATTATTGTTGTTGTTGTTGTTTATTTGATTTGTATGCCGCCCTATCTCCATAGGACTCAGGGCGGCTCACAACAATTAAAATCAAACCAGATAAAACATGTTAAAATACATATTAAACACATGTTAAACATATTAAAATAATCCAAATCCCATCAGTCCATGCTGGGCAATTTGAACAGCCATGTTTTTAATTCGCGGCGGAAAGTGCGAAGGTCAGGGGCCAACCGGAGCCCCAGGGGGAGTTGATTCCAATTATAGCCAACAAACCTAACTACCTCTCTGGAAAATGTAATGCTAAAAATACAGGCTGAATATTCTAGCGGCAGCAAGGTTGTCAAATGTAAATCCATGGACTCTAGATTGCCTGAAATCATATGAGAAATGGAGTAGATAAATGAGTTGCTGCCCTCTACTTTGTAATTTCTGCTAGCAGCAGTTTGCCAATATTAGAGTTTTGCTGGCAGTACCAGCCTGATTGTAGCAGAATTTATTCTTGTGTTGTTGTTGATCTGCTCCCATCCCCCTTGGGAATATTAATGCTTGTATCCTTGCCCATTGGTTTCAACTTAGAGGTAATATTTTGCTGTAGGGAGTTTATAACCAAAAGGGCTGTTAGTGGAGCAGTGACTAACAGCCTCAGTCTGGAGCTGTAATATTGCATCATTTCAATTAGTTGGATTTTTGAACCATAGTGAAGGTAAATTTTAGAATAATTGCTGATATTTATACTATTTTCAATTAAATATATCAAAATTGATTGGAAAAAGGAAGCCATTGATTAAAATATTCAAACATGTACAAAAGAAGAGCAGTTGGGATAGTCCAAACAACTAAATATAAAATAGATGTAAAAATGGAGACAGTTTTTTGATGAATAAAAGTTTTCAACTTGGTATTAGCATTAATGCTGAAGAAAGCTGCCTGAAGAATTTTTTGATTTCACAGAAAGACTTTCTAGATCACAAAAGAAATTGATTGCTGATGTTATGTAGATTCCGTACAAGTTTATCTTTACATTTAGGATGTTACTTTTTGGTAAATTAGCAGCAATGAAATGAATATATTCCCATCCAATAGTTGGGTGATTCATAAATGATCTATTCAAGTAAAGTATGGTTGTAACTTGAGTAATAGATGCTAAGATTCTATGTGGACAAAATAGCATGTGATTAACAATATATATTGTATCTTGGCAAGTTTAATTATCCTATAAAGATTTTAATTAGGTATTGATTTTTTACAGCTATTATGAAGCAAAGAAATGTGTTACTTTAAATTCCTTCAATCTAAGAAGTTCAAAAAGAAAACTGACATTGCTCACACACAAACACAGTGAGAAAATTCATATAAAATCAGTTTTTACACATAACAATTTTCTTTAAAAAACAATTTATCCAAACATCCTTCATATTGAGATTTTAAATCCAAAGGTATAGTTTCTTGTGCTATTCCATTTTTACCCACTATTATAGTAAAGGGAAAGCTGGATTAGGGGCTACATTATGATAGTTTGGTTTGCCTTGAAGGAATTTTTGTAAACAGACAGCATGCTAGCTAAGAAGTCTGTTTTGGCTCAGAGTTGAAGAAGATTGCGCAAGTGAGAGGCCCCTCCAAGAATATTTTTAACACATGAAGTGATTGCACATTCATAAACACGCAGGTGTGTTTGAATGGGAGATACTTCAGTCTCCCACACCTGTGCTATTTGGAAGCTATGCACAAATAAAGGTGTGTATATTTGAATGATTGCATATTCAGACGTACACCTGCAGCTGCTTGGCACCTTCTAGATATGGAAGTAGGGACTTGATAATGTATACGTATTCTGCTTGATGCAATGCTGTTCATTGTGATGTTGGCATTAAGTCTGCCTTCTCAAGTTCTAGTGAGGTGCTTCTCATAAGTTAAGCTTAGATCAGAAGTCCTAGAGACAGTCAGATGCTCCAGGGATCTTGTGAGTGGTTCTGCAAACATAGCTGTCTCTTGAAGCTTAATCTAATGTTTCATCAGGACTATAAAAGCATGTCATTATTATAAATGTTGTCTTTGGGATGATGTATATAAATTGCTCCCATGACCAGTTATGCAACTACTAAACATCCTAGAATGACAAAATTGTCAAGCTTGATGTCCAGGATACATTTCAAAGGATTATATTAGCTTAGTTTGGACAATAACCAACATTTGAATGAAACTGTCCACAAACTCAAGCCATTTGCTTTTTCATACATAACAGTCTTAAATATACTAGTCTTCATTCAGTTCATCATAACCATTCCCATCATCATCATCTTCCTCCCTTCTTTTAACTTTGAACTGGGACAAAGCACTTTATAGCTTTAGAGAAAGCCAGAATCCTAAACTATGAATTCTGATTTGTTCTTAAATTAGTAACTGTAGTTTCCCAATCTGAAAAAAACCAGAATGTAGTGCTCCTATTTTTATACCAGGAAGATGTGGGTGTATAGGCTCTCATTTATCTCTCATCTTAAGACATGATTGTTTGTAATAGTCTGTCTTGAGATCCTAACTTACAATTGGAAAGATTCATTTAAATGCTTTGCGGTGGTTAAAATAGGGGCTCAATTCTACTAGATTGCAGTCATATACACCAGGAGTCAGAGGTTTATGCACTCATTTTTTCTTACCCCCCAAGGCCCAGTTATTCAGAGAGGCAAAAAAAGTAAAGGAGGCCAGAAGCCAAGGTGCAAAAAGAATGGGTTGTGAGGTACCAGTAATCACAACTTGTGATTACAGGTACATTGGTAAATTATCACTTATTAAGCAAAACCCTGTATATTTTTTCTCCCTATACCTAATATTGCCAAGCTACAGTCTTTCACTCTGAGAATTCTGTGCTTTTTCAGATACTTCTCACAGCTGAAAAAAGTGTTATAAAATACTTTAAAAAGGGCTGACAATTTTATCCTGGACTGATTTTTTGCCCTATTTCAAGTTCCATTAATTTCAACAGGCATTAATTACTTAACTTTTGAGAGATTATTATTGCAAAAACTTGTTATTACAGATATACTGTCTGTGAAATGGCATCGTACTGTTTTTTTTTTTTTTTGAATTTTTAAGCCTGTTTTCCTTATTTGCTTTCTAGATATATGTCATTGATAGTGCTGATAGAAAAAGATTTGAAGAAACTGGTCAAGTAAGTATGTCACAGCTTTTGAAAATAGAGATATAGCACGATGATTTTTTTCAGATTTTGAGGTGGAACTTACAGTAATAAAAATGGAGTTTCATTTAAGTTGCAGCTTTCTGTCAAAGTTGGTAATTAGCTGAAAACAGGGAAATTATTTTTTAAAGTCCCCTTTCAATTTTCACAAGTTTGACCCAAATAATTTTTATTTTTTGCACTCAGATCTGAATTATATAGACTCTGTTGTACCATCTTTAAAATATGAAGATTTTCCTGATAATTTAATGCAGTGATTGGTAAATTCTGATTTATGATACAGTGATCACATCAATTGAATTATGTAAGGTCTCCATGTTATATCGAGCATTGATTTGAAGTATTAGGCTATTATCCTTTGATAATTATAACACTTTTCCAGCTGGATCCAACTACCCAAAGTGTATGCTCCTCTTTGAAATGCTAATTATCATTTTGCATTCCATTTATTTCCCTTTTTTATGCCATTAACAGAAAACGTAAAATTTGAGTACGCTGTATCATAAGTTCCTATCCCTCACAGTAAAAAATGACAATTATTTTAATTTTAGGAGTGTTTTTAAGATCATCTTACAGTGAATTTAGTTTAGAATGATATTTGCAGGATCAGTTTGTATTTAATCTTCAATGTACTCATTTAATGAGTACATAAATAATTAGTGCATGAGCCCAGTATACATAATAATAATAATAATAATAATAATAATTTTATTGTCATTGTACGTGTATACACAGTATACCCATACAACGAAATTCAGTTAATACCCAAAGACCAGGAATGTTCAGTATTCCTTTTAGTAATCAAAACTGCCTTATGAAGATTACATTTTTTAAAAGATGTATTAACGACCCATATATTAGAGATGAATAAAGTGGATCAAACTTTAAAATTTATATTTAGGATTGCAGAATTTGAACTATTTGTAGGCTAAAATGAATTGTTTTTAAGAGCTGTTCCACTATACAGGCAAATTCAGCTTGTAAGTATGCTTGTATATATTACTTTGGCTGTTCCATAAGTGCTAGTCTAGTGCTAGGGCAATCCATTGTTGTTGCCTTGAAGGCAATTAATCTATACTAATTTAGAAAAACTTATTTTAGATTGTGGTGTTAGTGCTTGCTTGTGTTACATACCTGGACTCTATATTCTAGCATCTATAATGCTACAATAAAGTATTATGTTATAATATTTCTCCAGAATTGTTTAAGGAAAAAAAAATCGTGTTCATTTTATAAAAAAATCTGCACATGTCTTTATGATTTCAGGAACTAGCAGAGCTGGTGGATGAAGAAAAGCTAAGTGGCGTTCCAGTACTCATATTTGCAAACAAACAAGATTTACTGACGGCAGCCCCTGCTGCAGAGATTGCAGAGGGTCTGAACTTGCACACAATCCGGGATCGAGTCTGGCAGATTCAGTCTTGTTCAGCCCTGACAGGAGAGGGCGTGTCGGTGAGGAGACAATGTTTATTTTGGCAAAATGGCTTTTCTACTGATCTGAAAGAGATAGGCATTCCTCTTATTTTGCATTCTTGTGTTTTTAGTGAAAGCTACGAACCAAATGCATAATAGAGAAACGTAATTTTTTAACTCACTTGGCAAGCGGGAGGTTCTATATATGATGGATTTCTCCACTGCAAATCACACACTAATTCATATTTTTGCTTCAATAATCTCACCCCAAATCAAATTCTTGTTTGATTGTTCTCACATAATTATTTACTTCCTTTAACAACATATTCTATATTCCAATTTAGTTTTAAGGATAATATGTTTATTGTGCCAGTTTTTATTTAGCCATTTCTTTTTGCCACAAATAATTATTTAATAAGCTTTTACATATTATATTGTGTAAATTTATGTACAGTGTAAGTATGTATGTATCATTCTGTATTTGTGAGTGGTCCCTCTACATAGAATCCTGGTTTGGGCCTATTAAAAGGATATGTGTTTATGTTTGTGCATTACTACATTAGGCAGAGTCACCAAAGAGTTCAAGAATAAGATTGATGACAATAGGGCTTAGTAAAAATGTGTTGGAAAGGAATATAAAATGCAAGATGAAGCTCCATTTTTTCTCAGTTACTTTTCAGAATTCAGTCATAATGGGATGCACTCTGGACCATAACAACCAGGCAATTTCAAAAGCTGACGATTAGAGCTCCATTAATATGCATAACATATTCATTAACAAACAGAAAACCATTGGGATATTGGGGAAGTACTTTTACTTATTCCAATTTCCATTCCTTTTCTATACCTTCCTTTTTCTTCAGTCCAGCAGCATGGCAGAAATCCCCATCCATCCCGGGCATTGCACGGCCCAGTGCTGGTCCATGGACCAGGGGTTGCTGATCCCTGTTTTAATGTATTATGAATCATTATGGTTCTATTAAACATAATTTCAACATAAACTGAAGAATTAAATAGGTATAAGATGAAGGATAATATTCTAACTCTATGCATGTTTGATCAAACTAAATCCTAATATAATCAACAAAGTTTATTCCTAGGAAGACATACTTGTATAGATCAGGTTTCTGTTCATCTTATCTTGAATCTGCTGAGTGGTTGTTCCTCAAAATAAATCTTAATATTTATGCTTGATAATGTCACAGGACAAAAATCACAGAATTGTTATTGTTGAGGCCAGGTTTTCTCTGCTAAACAACGTTAAAAAGATGACTGTTGCCTCACTTCATTATAAACAGTTTTCTGTCCCCAATTCCTAGTATTTTGTACATTTGTCACTTTCCAAGTTATGAATCATTTATATAAATATCGCTACATTCATTTGGCATTTGTTTTCTCAGTTTCCAAACATTTCCCATCATCCACAATATGAGCTTCAACAAGTGATCCAGTGAAAACATATGGTGAATAAATCTTTTACCTAGCAGAGGCCAAAATCAAAGTTAATTTAAACAGGAAATACATTTGTTCATTATGTCTTCTAGAATATTGGAATATTTTATTTCTAATTTAAAATGCTTGATTTATCTGAAAAAATACTCCCTTTTGTATCAAAAATGCCCGATGAATAGATCTTTGAGACAGATAAGCAACATAGCATTTTGCCTTTATCAAAGCTACATGCCAAGGGCAGACATATTATTCTTTTGGTGCCAATGTATCTTACATGCCCTATGCAGATGTAATGCTACCAAATGTTCTAACTTAGCATATATATATTTGCCCACATTTCTTGTGTGTATCACATTTTATGATATCAAACTGTAAAATTTGAAATAATATATCTATGTATGTAGGTACTCCTTGTCTTACAACCACAATTGAGCCCAAAATTTCTGTTGCTAAGTGAGGCAGTTCTTTTTGCTCCATTTTATGACTCTTCTTGCCACAGTTGTTAAGTTAGTAACACGGTTGTTAAGTGACTCTGGCTTTCCCATTGACTTCCTTGTCAGAAGGTGATCACGTGACCCCAGGACACTGCAACTGTCATAAATATGAGTCAGTTGCCAAACGTCTGAATTTTGATGATGTGACCATGGGGGTGCTGCAACAATCATAAGATGATTATGAAAAACCATCATAAATCACTTTTTTCAGTGCCAAATGGTCACTAAGCAAACTGTTGTAGATGATCTGGCTGGTGGAATGGAAGATATTTTATTAGATTTTAAAGCAAACTTAAAATTCAGCTACTGTACAATCTTTTAACCCAGGAATAGTGATACTAAAAGCTCGTAAAAATATTTTTTTGAAGAAAAACTAGATGAAAAATTAATTTTAGGTTTAATTTCTAGCCTTTTGAAATATTTCATTTGTGAACTGTAAAAATATATTGATATTTCTTTCAGTGCAGCTTAAAAATAGTTTCATAGAAAGATAAGTCAGCAGAATTACTTCCTTCCCAGCTAAGCCTTCTCCCCCACAGGAATTTGACTAAATATAAAAACCATTTGCTTCTCATATAACTGCATATAAATTTAGAGCATTTTCTTCCTTCAGAATTAACCTAGGTGTGATCATCCTTCTTTCACTCACTCAAAAACTTCCTCTTTGATCAAGAAAAGTACAAACAATTTCAGTAACGTAACATGTTCCCTAACATTTCAGCCAAAAATCTCTTCATTCTATATCTCATCTTTTTATCTGTTAACAAATAATAAAGCCTCATCATTCATTCTTAATCAGCAAAAGTCCATTAAGAGCTATCAGAAATATGTATAGTTTTATATAGGTATATAAACTTTAAACAAGAAATCAATTTCATTTACACAGTACCCTATCATTTTCTTTAAAAATACAAAGAACACCTCTTCTTCCTATTCTTATTTCATATCTATAAACAGATAAAAGAATCCTGAGTCCTGGGCAGGAATGTAACAGTAGGAATTACACACAAATCTCTCTCACAAAAATAAAGGGAGAGAGTGGGGAAGTGCATTCAGATTTGCAAGATTCTGTTACTATAGCTTTACTATAAAAATAGTATTGGTTTATATGGCATTGGATTCCTAATCTGATCCATTTGAAGGGCTGACATCTATACCAGTAGTGGGTTCCACTTACCTTCGCTACCGGTTCAGAACTGTGCTTCGCTTGTGCGCAGCACCTCTGCACATGCGCAGCACCTTCTGCGCATGCACAGAGTGTCCGTGATGACGTCAGGGTGGGTGGGCAGAGCCTCCCACCACCGCCACTACCGGGTCACAAGAACCGGGGCAAACTGGTAGAAACCCACCACTGATCTATATCTACGGCATGACACCGGCCTAGTGTTGCAATCAGGCTGAGAATGCATATTGTTGTGTAAATCTTTTGGGGAAAAAATATTTCCATTTACTTAAGTTACAGTCATTTACTCTTTTTCTTGGAAATATGCCCCTCTGGAATTACTGACACTTTTCTGTAGTTCTGATTATAAAGAGATTCTGGCATGTCCTCAGTATTTTTTCTTTTACAATTAATAATTTATAATCAGATTTTAGTATCAAGAACTGAAGTTCTATCTTCTCAGACAAAAATGTGTTGCAATCTTGAATTCGTTTACCTATGAAATAAATCAGACTGGGCTTAGGGAACTTAACTTCTTGCGAACTTGTAATTTGTACAAGTGAGCCGTTAGATATTTTACTCCTGACTCATGACATTAAGAAAGTGCCCAAAGATTCCATATATAGAAGTTGATGGGATAGGATAGTACATATGTCATATGGGAGAGGGGATGTATCCAGGAAGTTAAGAGCTGATTTGGGGGTCAGGGGTAGGGAACTGAAGAGTATGGATAATACATTAATAGGGAAACTTTGTCATAGCCCTAAGGTATAATATGAAAAAAGAATAAATATTGTAGCAAATGTAGTGATTAGGAGGTCAGGTTAGTTAGTTTTCTAAGTGATACTATAATGTGTAAATTCAGAAAGCTTATAGACTTCAAGATGATTGAGATTATATTGTGATGAATAAATTATACACATTTAGAGAATTGAATTATTTAAAATGAGTTTCCTTAACTAAAAATATTAATTACAATTGGAATCTGCTGTGATTGTGTACTGATACCCTTTTGAAAAAGTTGCTTTATTTTCATTGATTACCCAATGAAAAGTTCTAATCAAGATGCTTTGGAGTGTCAGTGAAGAGAAGCCTTTGTCATAGCTGAGAAAATAGCTTTCATTACACCAATCATGTTTCCTAAAGTCAGAGACTTTTACTGTAAGCAGATTTTGTACTTCCCATTTAAGGAGGTCAACTAGAGAGATACACAATCAAACTATCTGGATCTCCCTAATACTTCAGAATAAGGATCAGTTTAATTCATGCTGATGTTTGTAATATATAGTGAGGATTTATAAAATGGAATTGAAAATGTGAATGTGCAAGGAATTCTGACATTAAAACTTTCTCAAGGGGTTTTCATCCACATCACAAGATGTACTAATCAGTACAAATATTTGTACTGATTTATTATAAAACTGTATATATTCTTTATTATAAAACTATATGTATTCAGGCAGTATTTTTAAACCATGTTGTTTGGTTCATTTTAGAAAGGACAGTTCAAAAGCCAAATATGCCCATTTTCTAGGTTAGAGTATTTTATTATATAAATATGAATGAGCCAAACATGGTCCGCAACATTCTTTGCAACCCTTTGAGCATTCCCAAACTAGATGGAAGTTTACCTACCTCAAAAACTAAATATTTGGCTGGAAATTGGTAATAAGGAAGTAATATGGCCACTTGGGATCTTACATAAACAATCAAGAATCAACACAAAACATTATTAGCGCCAGTGCATAAATCATGATTTTAATTATATAGAGAAGCATAAAAAATATATTGAGAAAATGTATCTTTTTTTCTTGCGTTCTAGTGAGTCTTTGATAGCAAATTTTCAGCCTTTTTAAGAATTATACCTTTGCTTGTAAGTCAGGTATAAAGTGTCTAGATGATGTTGGTATGGTTTTATGTTTCTTGCATAAGTTGCTAACGCCACTTTAATGTTTTCTAATCTTCTTGAAACAGTGCTGTTGTCAGACCTATGTTTAAATGAGTGCTTATCTGATAAGAATTTCAAATACTCCCCGTCTTCCCCAAGAAATATGCTTGTTCTGATTGAATCGTTGCTCATTGAATCTATGATCATTAGAGTTGGAGTTTTGGAGGAGCATTCGCAACTAGAAGACACCGAAGTGCCTCTACTGCTTCTGCAGCTTATTGCAACAATAGCTTGTACTGCAAGATGCATTCCTTACTGTTGTACTTATATTTATAGTATATATTGGTCCTGATACCAGAAATATTAAACAAAAGTTCTATTTCTCATTTTGACAACAGTCAAAGATCACTGATGCTTGCATAATATAAGGACAGTACGGCCACTTCCTGAGTGGCTTCTCTTCACTGCTGCATTCTTTTTTGATCCAGCTTCTTTGGCAAATGTTCTCTACATGTGTGTCCCTAAGCCTTTGGAACACTGTACAGTCTTTGTAAAACTGCATTGTCTTCATAAAGCTGCACTGCTTTCGAAAAGCTGCTGAAGGCACCGCAGCTTACCAACAGCGTAGTGTTCTGAAGGCAGTGCAGCTTTACGGACACAGTGCAGCATTCTAAGGACAGTGAGCTTTACAAAAAGAGCACTCGGAGACATGTGTAGGAAATGTTCGCTGGAGAAGCTGGGTCTGCAAAAATGTCAGCAAGGGGCTTCTGCTTTGGCTGTGGCAGTTGGGCACAAGAAGAGAAAAGTCATAGCAGGGAATTGGGAGAGAAGGCAGCTGGGCAAATGAATGCTTGATAGCACTTGCTGTTGGTGTGGGCTGGTACGCCTGAGGCTTCCCAGGACATGGCAAGGAGCCCCAGAACCAGTTCTGGGGCTGCTTGGCATACTACTAAGCAGGCTGCAGGGCATTTAAAGAGCAAAGATGGGGGGTGGGGAGATAAGTGTGGGGGTGGTGGGTTGCAGGCAGTGCCTTACTTTACTGAGGCTCAGGATTTGGAAGGGCCAAGCCTGGAATTGCTTGGATTGGGGTGGGTGTTTGTTTAAATATCCTTAATGCTTGGTTAACAATTTTATTGAGGTGGGGGGGTGGGGAAGTAAGTTGGTGTGGTCAATGTACAATTGTGGTCATAAGTCAAGGACTACCTGTAGGAGAGGGAACCAAGAGAAGACTGGGCAAGTGCTTTTGCAAACCAATCTAAGAGAAAAATAATCAGGATCTGGCTAACCTTATGTTCTTTTTCTATTGTCTTTAAAGGATGGCATGAACTGGGTCTGCAGAAATGTCAATGCAAAGAAGAAGTAAGTCAAGCTGAGTTGCCTGGAACTAGAGAAACAGCAAGAGCCAAACATGCTAGCCAGCTGCTAGTGTCTGACCAAATATTGTTCCATCTGCCTGCAGCTACAGCTGTTCAGACTGGTAACCGTAGCTAAGCCTACTGCTTCTATAGGAACTTTATCTGTTGACTAGTACCATCCCCATCCTCATGCAAATCTTTCTTTCATTCTTTTAAAAAAGTAAATAGTATTAAGGGTCTCCCTATTGTTCATACTAGCAATGAAAATAGGAATGGATTGCTGTCTGACATAGAAACTTCTGATGAGCTCCATAGAGGTCGGATTATTATAGCAATATATATCAGTGGCCACATCCATTCTGAAATCATTCAAGATTCTCCTCTGGTCCAGTTCAAAACTTTTCTCATTATCCAATAAAGTGATCTTTTGTTCATGCAAATGCTTCAATTTTAAAATGATACATACCTTAGTACATTGCTTACACTCATTTGGCCATATGCCCAAGGGCCTGTCTTTTCTTCATAAAGACATGTATAAAACTCACTTTCTTAGCAGTTGGAATGGCGAAGCAGGATGCCATAATTTAATTAAATAAAACAACATGTGGTGGTTGTTATTACATTTATATTTGGCCTAAACTTTCCCCAAACGTCAGGTTTCACTAAGAGTTCTTGAATGTTCAAGCTTATTGCATTGTATTAGTCCTTGAAAATAAGATTTTTTTAAAATAGCGAAAGTAACTCAGAGCTCAAAATCTTATACAAGAAGCTAGTAACAATAGGCTTTGTCATATTCTGAACGGCTTTGATGCAAAATTTGATTTAGTATACCTAAGATCTATAAAGTCAATGAATTTATCTCTGGTAATACAAGCAGTAGAAAAATGTGAAGTGAAAGTTTTTGTCCATTTTAAAGAGTCATGACTTGTATGTATTTTTTGTGAGTTAGTATAGTTTCCTGCCATTCTCATTTACATTTAATATTGCTAACTCTGCAGGAAGTCATTGTCTAGATATCTGAAATATTGAAATTTGTCAAAGATTTATCTTTGGCCATGAGAACGTTGTTGCATCAAAATGAAGAGCAAGAGAAGAGAACCATAAAGAATCAATAATATTCTAAATACATTCCCCAGAAAGACACATGATTTAATAAACCTTAATGTGCTGCCACAATACCAGTATATGCTGCAGGTTAATGCTTCTTGCCTCTTAAGTTATTTGCTAAATTTGTCCAAATCATTTCATGGGGCTACTCTTTTGTGCAAGAGATCACTTGCAGAATATAATCAGATTGTAAGACTGAAAAATATGGAAATTGAAATGTTCCCTTTTGTTCCTGAAGGAAGTCAGACTGTTTTACTAATCCTCAAACTGTGGGCATATCTACTGAGGAACCGGACAGCTCTAGCTTCTTTCAAATATTCTTTATCCAATCACTATCTTGTGATCCTTGCTCATACCTTACTCTTTTTTGGGTGGGATGGGGTAGATATTTTCCTCTTTGGTATCTTAAAACAAGCACAAATTGTAAATTACATATATTAATTCTCGATCTCATCTACTTCTGATGGTTTATGAGATATCATAAGCAAATATTATAAGAAGTAGGAGGTATAAAATGAAGCATGGGGAACCATCTAAATACTTCTAGGGAATCCAACTCTGCTAATTAATATACATGCTCCAATTCCTAGATGTTTTAAGAGTATTTCATTTTATTTTAGGTATGCCATTATATACAACAGCTAAAATGTTGCTTGCCATTTTAAAATAAAATAAAAATGATCTGTAATCCTTTAATCCAAACATCAAAGAGGTTCATGTCATAATACACCAATCAATTCAAAAATAGGTTTATTTCTCTTGTACATCAAGCTCCTCTTCTCCAGAATTTCCTCTTGTGTTGGAAACACATTATATTCCTATGCACAGTTTGACCTTCAAGCACTTTTCAGCTCTCAACATTTTTAAATACAAATTTCCCATTTTTCTTGATGAGTTTCTTGCTGAAAATTTTATGTATGTTGTTGAGAAGGATTTAATTGGAATAACCAGAAAGAATCAATATGCTTTGTTGAATTCAGCAAGCCCCCAAATTCCAGTGTTAATGCATCTATCAAGTTTTATTCATTCTGAACTAAGAAAATTTGAAGAACCCCCCCCCCATTTCTCTCTCCCCCCGCCCCAGATGGAATTGGCCTAATGATTTCAAAAGCTAATATCTTGCCAAAGGTAATGGCTTAGTGGATAAATGCCTCATGAACAACATGGAAGAAGTGATAATTCATGGAACAATCTCCAGTTAATCCTTACAAATGCTAGCAGAACACAGCATTAGTTAGCTGTTCTTAAATCTCCACCTGCCCAGCTTTTAAAAAAATTCTCTTACTGGTCCTTATAATATTCCCGAGTGAGCAATCTATATAAATAAAAATGTAAATGTCGGTTTGTACATAACCGCACATCTCCGAAAGTTCTTCACCGATTGCTTTCAAATTTTGACACAAAGTTGCATTCGACTATGGGCATGTTTTTAGATACATATATACATGTCACACCTGTGACAGGTAAAAACATGAAAAATATTGGAAAACATTGAAAGACATTGACAAACATTGAAAAACAGCGCCATCTGCTGGACGTAAAACCAACATGGCAGCCTCCCAGCCCTGATTACGCTCAACAGATTTCTGCTCCTTATATTTAGACTCTCCTTCCAAGAAACTGCACATTTGGAAGGCAGAGACGCCCGAGGGCCATATCCTGCCACCAGGCTCAGCAGGTAGGCAGCTGGCTCCCCGCCGGGAAGCCCTTGCAGCCGGCGCTTCTAGGGCTGGACGGGGCTCGCCCGAGCCTGGCTCTGACCTCCCCCTCCCCCGGCCACCCCGCAAACTAGCCTCGCCCACTGCTGCTGCCCATCCCCTCGCCAGCCACTCTAGGGGCTCCCTCCAAAGAACACCTGGCAACGAGGCTGCCTCAGTCCGCCAAACGGGAACCCTCCGTCCCTCGTCTGGCCCAAATCGTGCCTGGCCCAGCACTACCACGGGCCCCGAGGTCAGAAAGACCAGCCGCTAACCGGCGCTATGCGAATCCGGTCGGTGAACGGGAGATGGAGGCAACTGGAGCCTCGGGGTCACCTTTGACCAGCGCTGCCTTTGATTCCCAGGTGGGCGCTCTGGCAGTTCACGGAGTCTACATGAAAATTTTGCCCTTTGGCAGAAAAGGGGCTCTGGGGAGGCTTTGGGGGGCAGAAATGGGTAGGAGAGAGGATGGCCGGCCCTCCTTCGTTTTGCCTGGAAGAGTGGGGGATTTAAGCATTCCCCTGCCCTTGGCAGGCGGGGGAGGAGAACTGCACAGCAGGGGTCCAGTGGGGTTTGTGTGGCTCCTGGCTTTGCCGTTTTCTTCCTTCAGGCAGGAAGCCCCAAACCAGCCTCGAACCCCCACTGCACCCCTCCCTTTCCCTTCTCTGCTATGCGTCTCCCCGTCGAGCCCCCAGAGAACATCTGTGTAGGGAGGACGGACAGAGGGGGAGAAAGAGACACATAGAGAGAGAGATGGGGGGGGGAGAGAGACAGACAGAGAGATACAGATGGAAGAGAGAGAGATATAGAGAGAGATACAAAGAGAAAGGGGGGGAGAGAGAGGGAGGATTTTGTGGTTCCCATTGTTTTTTAGCAACCGGTTCTCTGCCCTAATCACCAGCTGGGTAGGCGTGGCTCGGGGGCTGTCATGTGACTGATGAAAGTGAGTGACGTCGAGTTGGCCACGCCCACCAAATGTTCGTGGAGAGTTTGGAACTTCAGCCTTGCACTTTTAGCCCAGCGGAAGCACCAGACTGGGCCACAGCAACGTGTGGCCGGGTACAGCTAGTATGCAATAAATATGGTACAATGTATAAAGCCATGCTATGAGTACTTGGCAAGTTGTTTTTCCAGTAAAATATTCTTTCTTTTTTATTAAATTGTGTTGATATTTAAAGGTAGGTCAGAAAGGTTGAAGTGTAGCTTAAGACACCTGATTTAACATGTTAAAACATATTTAAAAGCATGGTTCAAATGTGGTTTAATTGTTTATTTTCATTACAAACAGCTTCCTTACTCTCTAAACAAACATTTTCTAAGATCATGTCAAATGCTTTATAAAGCCATGCCTACAAATGTTATCCAGCACACTTATCTTTTTAGTTTAAAAAACATTTTTTTTAGTTTAAAAAACAATTTTATAAGCTCTTCTTTTCTGAAGTTAATGAAAAGAAGTCTGATGAGATTTGGTAATATCAAACCTCTGTGTATACATTTAGATATTTGGCAAACTTGAATTAAATTTGGAAGAAATAACAAACACTTTATGATTCTCTGTCATTTTTATAACAAATTCTCTATATTATTTTTTAAATGAAGGTGGTTGGAAGAATAGTGTGTGAAATGGACAGACTGACACGATGTTCGGTTTCCATTCATTTCATCCTAAAATGGTATTTCTTAGTGTTTATGTATGCTAATGGCTATTCATCTACTAGGCCTGATTATCTGTAATAATTATAATTATAATAATGTGTTTGTCAGAAGAGCATCCCATTTAATCAATATGTCCTGCCACATAAAAAATTAGATACAGCTTTCCCAAACTTGTTATTCTCTATATGTGTTGAACTGCATCTACTATTATAGGTATTGTAATTCAGTACAGCTGGTGGAGATGGTGGGGGGAAGACTGGCTTAGTGTATTTGCTAGGATGACCACTAGACTGTTGAGAGAGCTTCAACCCCTCCATTTTCATTTTTACTCCATTAAATCACAATCATTCCTGCAATACTCAGTGCTGCTATATAAAATAGTTAATAGAAGAGGAATTCATTTTAAACTCAGAACTAGGGTTAATGGTCAGGTGCTATTCTATTATTTTATGAAAAACTCTGTATTTATTATACTTGTCCAATTCTGGTTATAGTGATAAATAATATTCGTGATGACTGGTTATGCCAGAATATGGTTATAGATATAGATGCATTTAATATAGTAACAATAGCACTGCATTTATACTAACAGCAGCAGAACAGCAACAGCAATCATCATATCATCAACATCATCATCCACCATTTCACCTTTGCAAAGGAACTCAGAGTACCTTACATAGGATTACTTTATGCCCACAACAACAATCCGTGAGTTAGTGTGCTGAGAGACTGGCCCAGAATTTTCCAATGAGTTTTATAGCTGAGGATAGACTTCATTTTCACATCTTAGTCCAATATCTTAACTGCTAGCTTTAATTAAAAAGCTTGAAGCAAAACTCGGTTTTGGTTGTGCTGGTATTTCAGTTTCAAAACCTTAACATTAGCATAATGTGTGTCTGATATGTGTGCTGCTACTACTAAGGCTAATAACCAGTTCTATTCTTTTTTCTGTTGTACATCCAAACACAATGAAGCTATTAATGACCAAAGCTGTAATGAATGATAAAGGTCAATATCTATGGATCTTTCTGGTGACAGTAATGGCATATGAAAGATTGCAACTTAGAATATAAGAGAATAAATGTTAAATTACACGAATTAATTCATGAAATAAATAGATTTTGTGTTTGTGAAATTAAGAGAAAGGGGAAGAATGTAATAGATCTAAAAGAAGGTCCTCCCACGTTGTGAGAGAAACTGAGGTAAGTAAGAATGAAAATGCTGATGTAGATCAGAAAATACCGATATTCTCTAGATTGTTGCATGTATGAAAATAAGATTTCACAAGTTAATGTTATATTCAGGAAATCTTTATTGTTTATTTATTCAATTCTCATACTACTGCAATTGGGAGAGTTCTACTGGTATATAAAAACATAAAACATCCATAATAAAAAAAATCCCCTCTTCATCAAAATCAGTGATACCAATGAACAATCTAAATATGAAGCAACACAGTGAAAAAAATAACAACAATAAAAATTTGGTCTCCTTTGCTTCCTCAGGGCTATCAGTTAGAGCAAATTATACTCCCAGGGAAGATATACTCCCTGGGTTTTTCAGCAACACAAGGGCCATGTTGGAGAAAACTCTTCTAGCCCTGCTTCCCCTCACCTTGCTCTGCTCCAGCTTAATGAAAATGAAGGGTTGCAAGCAATTTTTTCCAGTGTGTGTATGTATCTGTATCTGCAGCTTTATCTACCTATATCAAATGTA